CTCATTTCTGATGTGTCTACTTATAGCATTTTACCTCCATTGTGGGTTTGACAAGTAATATGCTGGAAGGTACTTCTGGAATGTTTCTTGAATGTTTTTTAACCATATGCAGGACTGTACATGGCTGGAAGTGAAAGGAATTATCCTATCACTCCTGGCATTCATTTTGAAGTCTATGTCCCCTAAGTGCCTGGTGTGACTTGTCAGAAAATAGGGTCTTGGGGCCTGGAAGAGTCAGTGCCTGAAATGCTCTAAAGAATGAACAGTGTTCTGTATCTTTAGGTCTTAGCACTCAAGATTAAGGTGTAGCAATGTAGTAGGACAAGGCTTCATCGGTGTCAGGAAAAAAGGGAATGTGGTGACTGTTAAGAGAGATATAATTTTAGCTCTTGAGACTGATCAAATCTGGGAAATCGACTTGGAATTGTGCTTACATCAGTGGTCTATGTAATCCATATATTAGTTGTTCCCATGCATGGAGCAAGGTCCAATAGCAGTGCTTATCATGTTATGAAAGTCACATCACTTGCCTCAAACTATATGTGTGTGTGTGTGTGTGTGTGTGTGTGTGTGTGATTTAATCTTAAAGGAAAGACAATCATTGCAAGCCTCCCTACTTGACCCAACTTTCTTAGTTTCTTCTTGCTACACAGACATAAATCCTTCTCCCTTTTGACACTACTCCAAAAAGACTTCCAGATCTCTCTGGCTCCAGTCCTCCATCTCCTGATCTTGCTCTCAGTTTCATCTCTTCTTTCTTTTCTTAGGGAGAACCAAATTAACTCCATCTCTGCTATTTCCACCTTGCTATTGTTACTAACCAGGAAAGTAAGACTTCGAACAATCACCAGGGCCTTCTCTCCTTAGAAGGCTAGGCCATATTGATAGATATTTTCTCCTCATGTCTCACCCTCTTATCCCACATCCCACCTGCTGCAATGTCTGCAACTTTTTGTAAAGTCCTTCTAATAAGCCTGAAAGTTCTTTGATATTTAAGATGTGTCATATTTTACAAGTACCCATGCAGTGCCATCATTCTCCAAGTGATTCTCTCCATCTTTATTATTATTTTTATTGTTATTATAAGGGTGATATATAGAGGGGTTCCAGTTATCTAAGTCAGGTAAAGAGGACAGGGTCACCCCTTCCCTCACTCCTTCTTTCTTTTGTAGTTTAATGCCCTGTGCTATTTCCATCTGTTGTGGATACCTTTGCTGCCTACATAGTTGAGTGAAGGGGAATTGGCTCAGCTTCCAGGGACTACAGCCAACTGTCCTCCTTTTAGACAGGATGGCCACTTCCATCATCCTGGTGACAGTCTTGATCACTACAAACACCAGAGCAGAGCTATAGAACATGGAACTCCCTGTGCTGAGCCACAGTGGGCTCAGGGTATGATGAGCTTTTCCGCTTCGGCCAGTAACAAAGTTCATATGAAAACCAGGGGGATGCTTCCATGCATCTCAATTTCTGAAGGTGCTGTGGGAAACAAGTTGTTCTATGAAACTACGTATTTTAGCTTTGTTTTAAAGAATAGAGTGAAGATTTGTGACAGGTGATAGAACCTAGAATGAATCGTTCAGAGTAGACCAAAATCATAGCGTAATCAGCCAGCTGGTCTGTGGATAAGCACATGAGACAAACTTTCTAGAATATTCTGGCTTAATATTGATCTCATTTGGGAACACTATTAAATGAATTTATGAGGTTGTGGGTGAGAAGAAGAATTCAAGTTAGTTCTAGAAGGCATATTGTCTTTATCCTCTAATTTCTGAGGATTTTTTCCTGTTAACCTGATATATTCCTATAAGCAATATAATCCCATGGGATACAAATGCACACTTCAATGTTAGATAGACCAAGGATCATATTCCACATAAAAGACAATAGATATTGAGCAATTAGCCTCTAAGTTCCCCCATATGCTCATCTGAAAAATGGGTATCATAATAAATAAACTGTAGAGGTTCCATAAACATTAAAAAAAACTTGTTAAGGGTTAAAATTATTCTGTATTTTTATTCTATTGTGTTCTCATATCTACTCATTCTTTAGAATAAGTTTGGTATAATGCCTAGAGATTCTAGGCAAATTCACCCAACAAATGCAACAGATATAGGCAATCATCTAATAACCGGGTAATCAAAAGATGTACCAATTTAAGTAATTAATTAATCCATTCATGCAATAATTTCCTCTTTATTCCTTCAAAGAAATTGTATAGGAGTGCTGGAGAATCAATGCTGAAAGATAGATTGCTTCAGGAGCTAGCAGCTAAAGGTGGAGACAGGCCCTACACTCACAAAAAAGAAGCAATTAGAAAGAAACATGAGACCTGCTATTTTGGAGATATGAAGGGAAGATTATTGAAATTCAACAGAGAAAACCTCTTACTAGGCTTTATTGAAATCAGGAAAGTTTCACAAATGAAATAATGAAGACTCATACTTGAGATAGACTTAGGGCCATAAAAATGAGGATGCTATATAAATAAGGTCTGGTTTCACTGGAAATGTTAAGTTTTACTAGGATTATTTGTATCTAGGCTAGTATCTTAAAGCCTACATATCCTTATTCCAGAGTACTTACACTGTAAATAAAATACAAAGCTTTTGAAATCATGCAACCTATGAATTCAACTGAATGATTTAATTGTTTAGACTTTAATTTTTACCTGCTTGGGAAAGTGTGGTACAAGAATATTTTTTCCAAAAAATCCTGTTCTGCATATTATTCCCTAAATTTCAACATCTTTTCAATTGTGAACCATTTCTAAAAAGTGAGCAACCATCAACTATTGTGACTATTGGTTCATATCATGAGCCTTAACTATGTTGTCATTGGTATATAAAGACCTTTGGATGTACAAGAGTGAACTACAGGAGTTGATTCTGCACAACCCCTTGCTTTCTGATCTATCTTTTTCCAGATTAACACTATAACTTCCAAAGCTTTGCATTTTGTTTTCTGGCAAAGAAAGAAACTGGAATTGATATCTTTATTTTCTCTGCCTACCAACCCACCCTCTTTTAAAAAGTTGTATTTCAGTTTTCTTTTCCTTAACTGTGAACTCTTTTTTTCCTCCAGATTCAGAGTGAGAAGTTCACATGGGCGAGCATGTACAGACACTCACACACCACACAGACACATACACCACTCAGACACGCATGTGGAAGAACACGCTCCATCCACCATCACAGCTGTCATGAAATACAGGGGCTTTAATACAGACTTTGCTGCTCATCCTTTAGTTGTCTGCCAGGTTTCTGCTATATTTCATTCTTAACAAAGCACTTAGAACTGTTGGTTTGGGACTCTTCTTTCCGTGGTTAATTTTCAAAGCTATCAGTGCTGGAAACTGTAGAAAATCTGTGCTTGTCCCTTCTGCCTTGTCCTATGAATGGGCATGTGAGGACACCTGTTAATTTTGGATGTGGGGAGGGAGAGAGGTACAGAGAAAGAAATTAAATCACATTGCAGCGCAAACTGGCTTTGGTAGTCTTTTAATGTGTAGGTGTCATCTTTACCCGGCTTTAGGTCTGTTAGTCAATTCAGTGGAGCCATTTGGGTATAGCTTTCATTCCTCCCAGAGGATCTTAGGGACAGGGTTGCCTGATAGTAAGATATATTGGCTGTTGAGTCCATGTGCCTGGGTTCATATACAGACACCATTGCTCATTAGCTAAGTTAATTTTGTGACCCATGAGCCTTTTCTTGACTCACTTTTCTTATTGCTAAAAGAGGGTACATGAAACATACTATACATGCATTAGGTTTTTTTAAATAAGTTTTTTTATTGTGAAAATGCCATACAGAGGGGTTACAGTTACATGAGCTAAGTAATGTGTATATTTCTTATCAAACATTGTTGCCTCCTCCTTTGTTTTTCCCCTATCATCCCTGCCCTCCCATCTCCACAACTATATCCCCCCCCCACCGAAGTTGTAAAGTTCGTTTTTCGACATAGCATCTTGTACATCTCATTGTTTCAATGGGTCCACCTGTATCTCTATTTAAACAATTTGTTTTTTTCCCTTCCCTTCCCCAAATTATACCAACATAAAATACAGTGAAAACAGGGGTTATACCGTAGTTTGTTGGGATGATTAAATGAGATAATATGAAAGAGTGCTTAATGTGGATTCAGTGTCACTTTTGTGGCACAGAAGTGACATATCACAGGAAGACATGCCACAATAATAGCTTGTTCCAATTTTAGTTCCATCAGAAATTTGGTATTTGGTGGAGAAAGAACTGATGAGTCTCAGCAAGATTTTTTTTTCCTTCCAAGTAACTCACATTCTTTCTGGAATTTGTTTTGACCTCTCCTCTGACTTTTCCCTAAAGACCCATCTCTAACCACCACTGACCTTCACCCACTGCCCTGCTCCCATTCCAGAACATGGGAGTCACTCTGTGGCTTCTGTTTGCACACCAGGATTCTGATGCAGAGATCTCATGGCCTAAAAGCTGATCCAGGTTGGGATAAAAAAAAAACCTTGCTTAGAAGTCATTTCTCAGTACACACGTCCAGTCAAGCTCTCAGTGCTAAATTCAATTCTGTAATTATCTCTCATTCTTTATAGTTTATGGATCCTTTTGTTCAGTGTTTATATTGCACAGTTGGGAAATCACCTCAGATCATTTTTCTTTTTTCTTTCTCAAAACCACAGAGATTTCTCCTGTGCAGGCCATTGGCACACCTGATAGATGCTTGTTCTCAGTGGTTTGAGAGGATTTAGGTGGAATTTCCATACCAGTGCTAAAGATAGCCATAGCAACACCAAAGAGGTCCTTGTGAAATACGTGATTAGCACGTACCACAGGAATTAATAATTGTCAGGCCACTGTCTTGAGTTGTAACCACATTGTTTTTGCAGGGAAATTGCTCAATTCACACACACACACACACACAGAGGACATGAAGAGCTGCATTCTAATCAGAGAATGCACTTCATTTAAAATTCATATCCCAACATGTACTTAGATATGCATGTGCTAAGTCACTCGTGAGTGACAAATTATGGTAATTTCCTTGATAATTTGATCCTCATTCCATTCTCCAATTCCTGAAAGTCTAAATGAGTACAAAGAAAGAATGCCATCTCTAAAAATAGCTTTAAATATATTTTCCCCAGAGTCAAGAATAGATTTTTTTAAAGAAATGTAATAATGATTCAGATGTATCATTCACTACCAAATATATGTTATCATCAGACATTAGATGAACTTTCTTTGTAGTTTTCTTCCATTAAACAGTAACTTTAAAGCCACCCTGCTAGCTTGCTAGATTTTAGTAGGTCAGCATACACACCAAAAGTGTATTAAGGTGGACTGTTCTCTGTATTGATTTTCCATGGATCTGCTAAGGACTCCGGGCAATTGTCTGCGAAGGGGGCGGGAGGCCCATACATGATCCAGGTCATGCGCATCTAGCCAATTTGTAAGACGATCCCACCGCCCAAAGCCATCAGCAGTCCTTAGCATAGGGGCACACTCATGCATTCCTGTCAAGTCATCTTGTGAAAGCCTGCCTGCTTCCAGCTTGGCTTGGATGTGCAACCTTAATAAAACTCACTGAGGTCTGGGAGAAAATAGCAGATCTGCAGCAGATAGGGTAGAGGAAAGGGGCTAGAATATGTACACGCAGCTGACTGGGCAGGCTCTACGCGGCTGCTGCACGGTTACACAGAGAGGAAACAATAAATCTCAGCGACTATGCAATAAATATCTCAAGTTTTAACGAAGGAAACTCTCATTACAGTGAAATAAAAAGAAATTATACGTTTATGTAACATTTTAGAACAAAGCTAACAAATGGCTAGTTTCCTATGATTCTTCTTCCAACGTTTGCTTTGAGGAGGCAAAACAAAACAAAACAACAACCACCAGTCAAACAAGCAAGCAGTTTTACCTGAAATAAAGAGCTAGTGTAAAGGTCAGAAGAGAAGGCGCGAGTTTTGCGGGAGAGGCACGGAAGGCGAGCGCGGTGGCTGTACCATGACAGTTTTCCTTTCCTTTGCTTTCTTCGCGGCGATTCTGACTCACATAGGGTGCAGCAACCAGCGCCGAAGTCCAGAGAACAGTGGGAGAAGATATAACCGGATTCAACATGGGCAATGCGCCTACACTTTCATTCTTCCAGAACACGACGGGAACTGTCGGGAGAGTACCACGGACCAGTACAACACCAATGCTCTGCAGAGAGATGCTCCGCACGTGGACACGGATTTTTCTTCCCAGAAACTTCAACATCTGGAGCATGTGATGGAAAATTATACTCAGTGGTTGCAAAAAGTAAGTGATTGCTTTCAGTTTCTAATTGCTCGGGAACTTGGCTTTACTTCCACACGCCCCCCCACCACCCCTTTCTCACTCTGCAGGGGACTTGAAAGAGTTCCTGGGGGGCGGGGGGGGGGGGGGACGTTGGTTGGAACTTTTGTGTGTTTACCTTTTGCTCCAGGGAGGCAGTGTTTGCAAATGCAACACTCCCCCCCCCCCCCCCGACTTTCTGGGTAAGTCAAGGTTTCCGGGCTTGTGTAAGTCTATGAAATGTATGTATGTATAGTGGTCCTTCATTTGCACGTTTTATGACAGCTCTAACCCTTAAAAGTGTTTCTCCAGTACACTGACTGTCAAAACTCAACTTGAAAGCAAGCAAGCATGCACCTTGTGAGTAAGTTGATAAAATCAAACAAATGAAAAAAAAGGTAATAGTTAAGATCTAATTGATTTTATAGCAAAAAAAAAAAGTTACGCAGCTAGAATGGGAAATCACAAAAATGTTTATTCCCCCCCTAAACTTTAGTAAAGGTAGGATAAAAATTTTTAAAAGTTTTATGATATTTGGTTGGAGAGACTATACATATAAATGAGGAAGCTGTTGATTACATAGAGTAGTAGAATAGCAGAGGACTTTTTTTTGTTATATCTGTCATATATTTCTTCTGTTCTTGTGACAAAAAAAAACTCAAGGAGATAAATGTTAATATGCCATTGTCAGGAAAGGCTTGTCTACCCACAATCAGAGTGTCAGAGTGGAAAGTGAGCCGGTGGCGGCTCAGGAAGTGCACCTGCAGATTTGGGCTGACAACATGGTCTGCATAGATTCCTACTGGAACTCCTTTACTGCACTGCTTCCAGAAACAGTGCCATCTGTGAGTCTCAGTTTCCAGATGAATGTTAATGTGTATTAGGTTTTTTTTTTTAATCCTAATTTTGAAAACTCAGAACTCATTATTTAGTTATCAACTTAACCACCCAAAGTTTTTCTTGAACTCTACTCATTATAGGATACTTTCTGAAGCTCATTTTCTCTTTGCTCCATTCAGTTGTATAATAAGTAATAAATGCATTTCATTGGCTGTGTCACTAGAAGGGTGGCAGTGTCTCCATGTGTTTCTCCTCAGGATCTTTGCTAAGCTATGTGGTGTATTTAGAAGACAATCAGGTTTCTTGAAGGTAGTCTGTTAACACAGCAAGCCTTGTAAGAGGATAAAAGATAGGCAAAAGACAAATGCTCTTTTTTGTTCCTGTCTGGTCACACTTGGGTTGGTGCCTGCTGAATCACGCCCAGTTATAGCTATTCTACTTTTGTCCACTAGGGACTGAACTAAGATCACTGTTACTTTGTTTGACACATTAACTAGGACTTGGTGGTTCTAAGTTTCCAAACTTGGAATTGCACTTTATCTTCCTATTGAGGACTACAGGTGGAATAACAATAGGTAGGCAAAGAATAGAAAACAAACAGAATTCTTCAGTCTTTTGATAATTGTAGCTTAATTTTAAGGCACTATCACTGCAGTAGTTCACAATAGAGTAATGGGGTATCTAGTTTCTCTTTGGCAAATCCTATTTCCACAGTAAAGAAATGAATTTTATCAAATAGCTTGTCATTATTCTCACTATTCTATCCATGTGATTTTACTGAGAATTCAATCATGAGAAATCAGCCTAGATTCCTCCAGGGAGATACAAGGAGAGGAATTTAGGCCTACACTTTAAATGAACTGTTCTAGCAAAACTGTAGTGTTTTATTTGTTCAAAGCATACAATCAACATTGTGATGTAATCATAGTAATGCATATTTTTTGTTGCTATGTAATTATTTAGCAGTGACAAGGTAAATACATAATTCAGCTGAGCTCAAATCATGTATACATTTCATATGTTAATTTATCTTTGAAATAAGCTTGATTCTTGTTTGTATTGTTCTTGGTCAGTGATTATGGCATAGCTTTCAGATTATAGCCATGCATAACCAGTAAATTGTTCTTCAGTCATATCAACCCTTGCAAGAATACATCAAGCTGAATAGATGTTGAAAATTGTCCCAGTTGGTGTGAGTCAGAGCAGTTTGGCTTCACTATTGTCTGCTTAAATTTGCATATCTTTTGTCATTGTTAATCTGATTGGTTGGAGGATCAAGAAACCAAATAAATGCATTCATGAAAGCACTTGCTTTCATAAGTTTCCCTTAATTGAAGGTTTTCTTCACTGGGAGTTCTAAATTTCATATAATATATTTATTTGGAGTATTCAAATGGACATATTTTAACTAGAACTGTTTAGAATATTTGCTTCTGCAACTTGAACTGTTTCTATTTTGATTCAATAGCATTTGCTATTGGGTAAGAAATAATGAACTGCAGAAGTTAATACTATCAGTGTGTGTAAGTGAAATTAATCCATCCATTTGTTCAATGAGATAATTAATCAAAACACGATGATAAGTATGCAGCTCTTAGAATTTCTGTCTAGACAGTTTTGCTGCAGAGTAAATGTACATTATCAATGCAAGATGAAAATAAGTGTAATTGAAATTCTCCTCTGTGAACACTGGTTAAGTAGATTTTTTATAAATATTCTTTGAATGGTATTGACCTTTATTAGAACTTCATGAGATTTATGCTCTTAAAAAAATTTTACTCCAAAGCTTCTGGTCTTGAAACTGAACAGGATAAGAAGCAAGGTATTCCAGGAAGCAGAAGACTTATTAGTCACTATAAGTAATGGAATTGTTGGGACCTTGACATGATGGTTTAAATTTTAAAAGTTGAACTTCCCATGATAACTTATTGGTTAACATGAAGTAGGTTGTTATACTATCTTGACTTGTCTGATAAAGAAAAACAGGGTAACTAATATGCTCAACATCACAGTTTTATTGTGTGAATCATGTGGGTATGTGTCTATGATAAAGCCCTTTTCAGAATTACTAGCAAGCAAACATATCAAATGCCTGAGAATGACTACACATGTGGTTATGTGACAATAAATACAAATGGCCTTTGTGTTCTGTCCTTTCTACCTTCCTATGACAGAGAAAGGTATTGACTAACATCCTTGTCCTCTCCTACATGAGCTATTATTTTCTCCTCTCCATTATTAAAAAGTTTGTAAAAATGCATATTTAAAATATTCATATGTAAATCATATGGTATTCATGATTTGAACAACCTAAGAAAGTCTGTTTAGCTTTTACCAAGTATTTTGCTGGCTGGTGATGGCACAATAAAAACCAGAGAGGATACTCTTAAATTTTTTATAAGTGGAGATGTCCTCAATGAAATGAATAGAGAGTTAATGGTTTTAATCATGTATCTATAATTTTGATTAGAATACACATATACACACATACACACATTACGATTTATACCCAGAGTTGCCAAGAAAAGTTAGTGGAAATAATTTCATTTAAGTAGGGTAATGGAAATGTCCCCAACAACTTGATCTGGAAAATACAAGGGAAGAACCTAAGAATCTACATTAACTTTTCATACAATAAGTAGTATGTTTGCTTGTTACATTTTAGAATCAAGAGATTCAAGAAGAAGAAAAAACAAAACAATAACAATAACAACAACAACAACAAAAATAGGAGCTAGGCAACTGAAGCTATCTAACTAAGCCTTAGGGAAGGATTTCCCTTCTGTCTCCATTGATGAGTTTTGCGTTTTAGAGGATGTTTTAGTAGATGCTTTTCCATGCCTGATGTTGGTCTTCTTAGCCCTGGATCTAACATTTCATTTGGAACCATCTTTCATATGAAATAATTGGTTTATCATAATTGAGAAGAATATGAAGATTTCTTTCCTTAAATCTTATAATTTCTCATTATACAAGAATAAAATCCACATTCCTTACCATAAGGACTTCTATGATGCTCCCTGTCTCTGTCTCTGTCTCTGTCTCTGTCTGTCTCTCTCTCTCTCTCTCTCATTCTGGCCTTAGCATTTACCACCTTCAAAGGACATTCCTGACACTCAAATGGCATTACCTTTCTTGTGATTTCTCCAAGAAGCAAGCTCATTCCTGCCTCAGGCACTTTAAAAGCTATTTACTCAGCTCAGAAAAATTCTTTCTCCAGCTATTAGCATGGATGGCGCCTTCTCACAACTGAGGTCTTCATTGAGTGGGAAGTCTTCTCAGAAAGTTCTGGCATCATTGCCTGCCACTTGCCCACTCTGCCAAGTGACTTGATAATACGTTGTACTGCTCAATTGCTTCATGGCATTTACTGCTTTGTGACAATATATTACTTACTGTTTGTCATAGTATTTATTCTGCCCCCTCCTATTAACAACGTGAACTGCTAGAGCAGGGGATTTGTCTATCTCATTGGTACTATGTGCCTCATACCTGGAGGCATTTATAACATACAGTGGAATAGTGGGACCACAAAAAATATCTGTTGATTGAGTGTATATTGTACAAGGTTGAAACCATGTGTGTATTAGTTACTCATTTTCCTTGACTACTTTCTTTATTCTTTTGTCTACAGAATGAGTATTTTGGAACAGGCTAAAATGTAAATGGCAGAGGACACAGTTGGGCCTCTGTCTTTGCAGGTTCTACTTCCATCAATTCAACCAATTTCAAATCAGAACTAATTTTAAATGAATCTATATGGAACACATACAGAGTTTGGTATTATTATTCCCTGAATAATATGGTAAGACAACTATTTATATGGCATTTGCATTTAATTAGTTATGATCATCTAAAGATTATTTAATATATAAGGTAGGATATGTGAAGGTAATATGTAAATTCATCTTATATAAAGGACTTGAACATTCACAGACTTTGTGGTGACCCAAGTGTGTAGGGAATATCCTAGAATGATCCATCCAAATACACCAAAACATGACAAATTTTTAATGTCCCAGAAGAGATTAGCTATAAAGATAAAAAGTTCAACAATATTCCATATATTTTCCTTTTGATATGTAACATGGCAATTTATGATTAATACTCTGGGTTTCCATCCTCTATATCTAGTCAGTAAAATA